TGCTTTGTGGATCTAGAGACCCCGCTGCGCTCTCCATGGGGACAGGGCTAACCCCACCCCGGTTGTACAGGGCGGTGCTGTGTGGCAGCCCTGCTCCACCCCAGAGCTGGCTGCACTTGTGGGGTCCCAGTGGCTGGGGCCAGCCGTGGAGAAGGGGAAGCGCTGCCTGGAGCTGTGCCCACGCCTGAAACCCCCCCCCCCCGGTGCTCTGCCGGCAGTCTGCCTGTCCAGTGCCAGGCGCTGAACTCTGCCAGGGCAGCCCCGAGCCGCTCGCTGAGCGTGGGCTGAATTCATGTGACCAGGGCAGGGTCTGTAGCCAGAGAGACCCTTGGCAGCCCCAGTGTTTGCAGCCTGGCCATGGTGTCCCCCAGGCGTGGGCGCAGTGGGTGGGTGTGGGGCCAGGGGAGGGGAAGGACTGTGCCAGTGGTTGGGGCTGGGGGCTGGCAGCCCAGCCTTGGCCAGAGGAAGTGGGGGCCCATTCCTGAGGCGGGAAGGGGCCCAGGGAGCTGAGGAAGCAGGGAGGCAGATATCGAACTGCTGCCGGTGGGGGGGGCACCCTGCTTTCAGAGGGGCGGCAGGGCTCCCCTGGGGTGCCGCCTGCTGCCCATTGCTGGGGAGGTGTGCCAGGGTCCCCAGGGCTGAGCCGGCTGCGCTCGCTGGCTGGCACGCGGCCCACGCCGGCGAATCAGACGCTCTTGATCTGGATGCGTAGTGAGCGTTGCCATGGCACCCTGGCACCGATGCTGGGCCCTGACCCAGCGGGTATTCGCTCCCCGCAGGGGAGTGGGAGGCAAGGGGCTGGTGCTAGACAGGGCTCTAGGGGCTGAGTGGGGCAATTCCAGCTGAGGGGTGCCGGCTCCACAGCTAGTGGGGATCAGGGAGCTGCAGGGGGTCACTGGCAGGGCCCGGGAGTGGCTAAGTAATAGGGTTATACAGGAGTGCAGCCCAGCCCCTCCCCCCCCCCCGACGCCACGTGCTCCTGCAGCTCTGGGGTCGCATGGGGTATCCCCAGCAGGGGCCTTGTCCCCCTCCGACAGAGTCCCTCCGTGGGGGCAGCAGCCCCCCAGCCAAGATCGGTGTGGGGGGGCAGGATTATTTCTCAGGCCCTGGTGGACAGATGGGCGGGGAGTTCTCAGTGCTCCAGGCAGGGGGGGGCTATGGGCATTCAGCCCCTCTGGGGCAAGGACTGGCTGTGCGGGGCCCAGGGGGCCCTGTCTCCAGAGGGGGGGCAGCTGGAGGTGAGCAGGAGCTAAGGGCTGGCCCAGATGACACCACTCTCCCAGTGCACGGTGGGTTACACCGAGCCTGGATTAGATTGTGGGGCGGCCGGCAGAGGAGCGCCTGGCCTCCGCCAGCCTGGAGGCTGGGTCAAAAGTACAAGGGGCTCCCCAGCATCCCGGGGGCCGTTTGGAGCAGGGGGCATCTGAGGGGAGCAGAGATCCCTAACCAGCAGGGAGGGGCTGTGTGTGGGGCTGGTGCCGGTGGGTTTGGGGAGCCCAGACGCTGCGGTGGGGGTGTGGGAGGGCAGGGAGAGAGGGGCAGAGCATGAGGGAGATCTCGTCCTCCCTGGGGAGCAAGGGAACAGGTCGTTCCTTTGGCTGGCGGCCAGCGGGTGAGAGGCAGGGGGCCCTTTCCCTAGTCGCACGTAGCGTCTCCCTCCTGCCCTGGGCTGAGAGTGGGCACGGCGCCAGCCTTGCCTTGTGTAATCTGTTATGTAGCCACGGCTGGGCCGTCCCAGAACACTTCATTTCCTGTGCAAAGCACGCTGGGCTGGCCGGCTGCCATCCGCCTCATCCCTCGCAGGCCGGGGGGCCCCCTGCACAGGGTGCAGCGTTTGGGTACCCAGCCTGGGCTGAGGGCAGGGGCGGTGGCGGGGTCTACCGAGGCTCAAGCGAGCTTAACATGCCAGAGAAGCAGGGAACAGAGCTACAGCCCAGTTCGCCCTGAGCACAAAGACCCAGCGAGCAGAGGAGTGTGAAATATGCCCCCCCCAAGATCAGCACGCAGGAGTGCGGGGCCTGAGCCCCAGGGAATTGTCTCCCCCGCGGGCGTCACAGCTGGCAGTGCCACGCAGGCAGGAGTTCTGCAGGCTGGACAAGCTGCCCTGGCACGCTGGTGTTCGTGACACAGCTTGTCGCCAGGGCAGTGTGTGCCCTCGCACACCCACAGGGCACCTTTCCCTGGGGACTGAGAGAGGAGCGGCCAGGCTGGGCAGCCCTGGGGTCCCTCGAGCCCGGTCTCCTGCGTCCACCCCGGCCAGCGCCAGCTGCTTGAGAGGAAGGTGTCAGAATTGGGTGAGTGCTGGCAGGGAGAGCATGGCGCTGCAGGGTCTTTTGATCTAATGCCCCGGGTGGCCACGTTGTCCCCGTGATGGCCTGTCACCGTGTCCGTCTTCCATGCCCGTGGCTGCCGGCCAGGCTCTGCCTGGAACCAAGGTGCAAGTGCTTGGCAGGGAGAGGAACGAGCCATTGGAGCCACGGAGCGCGGTGGATTCTCCATCACTGGCCATTTTTCAGTCCAGGCTGGATGTTCGCCTGAAGCTCGGCTCGAGGGATGAAGTCTGGGCAGTCCCGTGGCGTGTGGTCCTTGGAATGGATGAATTCGGAGCCCAGCCCTCCTGCCAGGAGCCGGGCCCTGCCACTACACCCACACCCAGCTACCGGTCAGGGGCTATGCAAAAATCCAGGCTTCACGCTTAACACTGGGAGCCCAGAACTGGGCAGTGCTGGTGCCGAGCCCTTTCCAACCCTGGGTCTGGGTCCTAGCCTCTGGGTCTGACACCCCAAGCCAAACGGGGCAGGTGTATCCCCTGCCCGTGCTGGCCGGGGGCCCTGCTGGCCGAAGCGGTGCGACCCTCCGGCCCTCCTGGCAGTTGCAGGGACTTGTTGGGGGGCTGTTTGCAGGGCAGGGGCAGAGCCCGCAGGGCTGGTCACAGCAGCGGGGTCCCAGTTGGGCAGACATGTGAGGGTCTCTTGTCCCTTTGCCAGGGGTTGGAACGCTCTAGCCGTGGGTCTGAGGCCCCTTTGCAAATCCACCCCCTGGGAAGAAAACTTCTGGAGCTGGCGAAGGGGGATGGGTTTGTTGTGCCAGGGCAGGGCTGGGAGGCAGGACTCCTGGGTTCTGGCTCTGGGAGGAGAGGGCTGGAGTAGTTAGAGCAGTGGGGGCCGGGCGGGACCCAAGGACTCCTGGGTTCTATTCCCTGCTCTGCTACTGGCTCACTGAGTCCCCTCTCTGTGCCTCAGTTTACCTCCCCGATCTCCCCCCAGCCCGTGGGGGACAGTACTCGCTGCTGCTGCGGGTGGTGGGGGAGCCCTGGCTCCTCTGCCCTTGGGATAGCCCATGCTGGTTCCAGTGGCGCCTGAGCCTGCCCCGTGTGTCTTGCAGGGCTCCCATGCCTGGACGCCGGAGGCAGCGCGGCCACAGCAGCCTGGATGCAGATGGAGCCAGCTGGAGGCACCAGGGCTGCCCCCCTAGTGCAGCCTGGGGGCCCAGAGCCCACCCCATTGCGGGTGCTGCAGCCTGCCGAGCTCTCTCTCACCCCTGGCGGGCCAGCAGCGGTGACGGCCTTTTCCAGGACCCTACGCCTGTACAGCAGCCCCGTGCCTGGGGACAGCGCCCCCTCCAGGCCCCTGGTGGTGCTGCTGCCCTGGTTTGGCGCCCGGCCCCGCTCCATGGCGAGGTACCTGGAGCTCTATCTGCCGCGCGGCCTGGACGTGCTGGTGGTGGAGAGTGACCTGAGCCACTTCCTATGGCCCCGGCACGGGCTGGCCTACGCGGCCTGTGTGCTGGGCCTGCTCCGGGACAGCCAGCCCTTCTGCTCCCGCCCGCTGCTTGTTCATGCCTTCTCCATCGGCGGCTACACCTTCGCCCAGATGATGGTGCACATGAGTCGGGAGCCGCAGCGGCACCGGCAGCTGGCAGAGAGGATCCGGGGCCTGGTGTACGACAGCCTGGTGATGGGCAGCCTGGGGAACATGGCGCTGGGTGAGTGGGGTCTGGGCAGGTCCTGTGGGGCAAACCCCCTCTCCAGGCACTAGCCCGGGGGGGAGAGGACAGATCTTTTACGGTCTCCTCCAGCCCCAGCCGTTCTGGAGCCCTGTCCAGCCTGGAGATCCCCAGGATCTGCAGATGCGGGGTGAGGTGGGGGGTAAGAACGGCCACCCTGGGTCAGACCATCGTCCATCTTCGACAGGGGCTGGTGCCACGAGCAGAGCAGGGCGATTATCAGTGATCCATCCCGGCACCCAGTCCCAGCTGCTGGCAGGCGGAGGTTTAGGGACACCCAGAACACAGGGTTGTGTCTCTGCCCATCTCGGCTAATAGCCATTGCTGGACCTGTCCTCCAGGAACTGCTCTAGTTCCTTTTTGAACCCGGTTAGAGTTTTTGGCCTTCCCAGCATGCCCCGCCCTGCGATGGTTGAGGGAACAGGCGGGAGCCGCAGCAGGGGGGAGGGGGGTCTGCGTCTGGCCTGGCGGCTCCCCTGCCCACTAACCCCCTTCTTGCCCCGTGCAGGCGTGGCTCAGATGAGCAGCTCCCCGGCCTTCCGGCCCCTCGTCAGGGGAGGCACCAGGCTCTACTTCAGCCTCCTGCACGGCTGCACCGTGCGGTACTACAAAGCGGCCCAGGGCGTGGTCTCCCGGCCGCCGCTTCGCTGCCCCGTCCTGCTCTTCTATTGCTGCAACGACCCCCTGAGCGACCCCGCCCGGGTGCAGGAGCTGCTGGAGAGCTGGAGGGGGCGGGGATCCAGGTGCAGGCCCAGGGCTGGCAGGACTCGTGCCATGCAGCCCATCTGCGCCAGCACCCCCAGGAGTACCAGCGGGTGCTGCAGGGATTCCTGGAGCGGCTGGACCTGGCCCTGCTCCGAGCCAGGCTCTAGGAGCTGGGGCTGGGTTGGCCCAGGAG